GCCCCCAAAAGCCTAAGGAGCTGCCCCCTCCATACAAGCCCCCAACCCAGGAGGAACTGCCTCCTCCGTACAAGCCCCCAGAGCCAAACGACCTGCCACCTCCATAGGAACTCCCAGAGCCAAATGATCTTCTACCACTGTACAAGCCCCCAGAGCCAAACGACCTACCCCCTCCATACGAGCCCCCCATTCCAAATGAACTGCCCCCACCATATGAGCCACCCATGCCTAATGAACTGTCCCCTCCATACGAGCCCCCAGAACCAAATGAGACCCCAGAATCAACAGAGCCTGCTATCCCCATGAAGCCCCCTTGGTTTGGGAGCACCGTGCCCACGATGCTCTCCTGTGGGCAGGAGCTGAGGATGGGGCCAGGGAAAGTGATGACCACAGGTGGTGGGTAGACCACGGCACGGGAGTCACTGCATGTGGTGACGCAGGGCTCATTCCAGGCATTGGCATATGGCTGTGGGCAGGTCACTTCGCATGGTGAAGAGCATCTGCTGCTCAAGAGCTGTCCACCCAAAGACATCTTGTGTGATGGAGATAAACCTGCAGCACAGGTTAAGGGGTAGAAGTAACGTGCTGTATGTTTCCTGCTAGAATAAATTGTTATATTTCCCGTAATATGAGAATTACTCTTGTGAGGATATGTATTGTTAATCCAGTCTGAAATTTTGTTCTTCAGTATATCCAAAGCTAAATTACACAGACACAAAATCGTCTTCTGTTGCAGTTCACTATTACTGTCAGTAAGGGATATATCTTTCTAAAACACCTTTAGCTTGTTTTTATTCTGAGAGTGTATCTTACCATCTTCAAGCACTAACTTTTAGTCCTGCTGAGGACATTCACCAATTTAATAATCTAATGTTTTTTTTCTGGAAACAGTTTTTACAGATCCTGTACTTAGAAATCAACAGTGGCGTTTGCCATCTAGTAATGTGCATGTATATATAAAAACATATATATATATATATATATATATACACACACACACACTTTTTTTCAGACATGCCAAGCTAGTAATGTATAACATTGGAATACAGTTATAGCTGTGAACCAGTGCAATATTTAAGTTTCAGCCTCTTTATTTAATTAACAAGGTTTAATTGACCCCTTCCTCTTGAGGCTTAGGAGAACACAGCCTTACATTTTAACACCTGCACCTACCAATGGCTACTGCTGAATGGCTACAAAAGCTCGCCTACGGAAGAAAAAAAACAGAACTGATATTGCTGATCATTGCAAAGTATTGACACAGGCTTCATTCCCAAGATAAACATTGAGGGCAACATCCTCAAAATTATAAAAGAACTTAAAGACAGAGAGCTTACCTGGTTCACAGAGAAAACCAGATGAAGGGAAGTGGCTGGTGAACGCAGAGTAAAAACTGAGCTTTATATACCCTTTCAGACTGCTGCCAGGTATGCAACATGCTTTTGTACATGGAGCTTAGTTAGCCAGCAAAATATTTTGCTGCGTAAGCGTCTTCTAATTGTTATAAGTATTTTGATATCTGATAATGATTAGTAAATCAGCCTCATATCATACAATATGCGCAACACACCCTTTGTCTTACTTTAATCACTAAATAGTTTTTATATCCTTTTTATTACTAATGTCATCTCCTGACCTCATTTGAATTGCAGTGGCAGTGACTTGAGCTGTTTGCTTAGGCTACCTTTAAGCAAGCTAAAGACACGAGTTTGGTTCTCTGAGGAGAAATATTTTTTTGTTCTGCAAAAGATCCCATTTAAACTCAGAACTGCAGAGAGTTGGGAAAATTGCAAATTTCATCTTTGCATCTCCTCAGATTGGGCAAATCATTTTCCCTGCCTATTTAACATCCACTCAAATAACTGCTTATAAAAGTGCTTTACCAAATTTCCAGTGTCGTTTAAGCGTGTACAAAGAAGCACCATGGGAGAATGTGAGGTATTTTTGATATCTTCCTTCTCCTTTTGTCATCTTTCAGGAGATCTGAAATCTGGGCAAGATGCACTGCCACTGCCCAGAAGATGTAGTCTGAGAAAAAATAAAGTCTTTTTGGACAAGCAATGCATGTGCATAGAATGTGTCTAAGGTTGGTTGAATCTAAAGCAAAGTATAAGCATCTTAAAGGAGCAAAGACTCTTTTTTCAAGAAAGCCACTCCAGTATTCCTAGACTAGTACTTAAAAGTCTTATATATTAGTAGATATAGAAAGAAGTCTCCACATAGGAAGATATCTCTCTAAGCAAAATTTTCTTTATCAATAATCAGAAACATAGGGAAAACATTAGATGTGATGAATATTTTTGTGACATTATAACATATAAACATGACACTGATATGTGCCAGCAATATCAAACACCCTACTTTAATGCTTTATTTCTAAATCAAAGAAAAGTAATTCTAGGTTTTGGCTCAGTCATAGTCATTGGGTGAAACTAATTGCAACCTACCCGAAACTAAATGGTTGATTTTCCAAGCTCTTCCACTTTTCACATTATGTTTAATGTTTCTATCACACACTTCTGGTACTTTCAAACCTGGTCAGAAAATGGAGCATGGGGAGCTTATTTGGTTAAGATCTTGCATCAGAATGAGAGCGAGTTCTGTCAGGCATCAGTGGGCAGCCCTTGATTTAGCAGTTTTGATAGTCAGCAGTTCTTCCTGAGCTCCTCAGCCAATGTGAACCTTCCCAGTTTCCTGCAGTTGAGTTGAGAAATACCAAATTACAAAAAGGATTCTGGACACGAAATTGCTACTTCTCCCCACATTGCAGCACCACTCGGGTGACTTCTACAAGCCACCCAACTATTTGCAATTCAGACTTTAAAGAAGAAAAATAGAGTATTATGTACAAAAAATTTATGAGCTTGATACATCTCTCAGCCAGATGCACCTAGACTCGCTCCCTTTTCAGCTCTAATAAGGGCCAGGGATGATACCAGCTGCTAGCTGACTTTGTCAAAGTTGGAGGATAAAATAAAATATAGGGTGAATAACACTTGTCGAGTGACTTGTAATTGGGAATAAACTAATGATCACAACACTTATGAGAACAATTAGAACAATTACAGAAATAATCCATGCAGCAAAACATAGTTTGGTAACACATAAGGAGCTCTTGCACAAAATGTGGCTCACATCCTACCAGTGGTCTAAGAAGGTATATAAGAGCACTGTGAACAATTCAGTCTCATAACTACTGCTCTTCTACAACTTCTTCTACTCTTCTCCAGAGTTGGTAAGTTGGATTTCTTTCATTCCCTTTATGAACAGTTAGGAAAATGTTTTCATTATTAACTAAGGGCTCAGTCTTGCACAGAAAGTGTAATGCTCAGCAATGCTGTTTGTCTTTTCTAATACGTAGGTATATATATTTGTAGTCATTTATGTGTATGCCTTTTTTGGACACAGATGTTGAATTATAAGACTGGAGTCTCCTACTTGCTTTGACTAGCTCAATATTGTTAATTAGCTCTGTAGTTGTGTATTAAAATCCTACAAAATCCAAAGACACCCAGAGCTTGGCTTTGCTCTCCATGATTATCTGCTTGTATATAGCAATAGAAATCAAGTTGGGAAGTATTAAGTGTGTTATTATATGCATGCTCAATAACACTTAAGAGAAAGAAACATGGATCTTTCCAAACTCTCTTCTTATATCCCTTTTGCATGCTTGCAAATGAGCTTAGATCTACAAGCTCTATTCCTTCTGGCTTTTGAGCATTGCACTTATGCTGTATCACATGCTGCAGGTTTATCTCCATCACACAAGATGTCTTTGGGTGGACAGCTCTTGAGCAGCAGATGCTCTTCACCATGCGAAGTGACCTGCCCACAGCCATATGCCAATGCCTGGAATGAGCCCTGCGTCACCACATGCAGTGACTCCCGTGCCGTGGTCTACCCACCACCTGTGGTCATCACTTTCCCCGGCCCCATCCTCAGCTCCTGCCCACAGGAGAGCATCGTGGGCACGGTGCTCCCAAACCAAGGGGGCTTCATGGGGATAGCAGGCTCTGTTGATTCTGGGGTCTCATTTGGTTCTGGGGGCTCGTATGGAGGGGATAGTTCATTAGGCATGGGTGGCTCATATGGTGGGGGCAGTTCATTTGGAATGGGGGGCTCGTATGGAGGGGGCAGTTCCTTTGGAATGGGGGGCTCGTATGGGCAGTTCCTCCTGGGTTGGGGGCTTGTATGGAGGGGGCAGCTCCTTAGGCTTTGGGGGCTCCTACGGAGGAGGCAGGTCCTCTGGCATGGGGAGCTCCTCCGGTTATAGGAGGTCGTACACTTCTGGAGTGTCCTCCCTGGGCGGAGGAAGCTGCAACGCCGGTGGCTTCTGAAGAGGCTGCGTCCTCTGCTGTGGCAGCCCTGGGCTGCGCTCACTGCAGAGGAGAAGCTGCAGCCCGGTGATGTCCAGCCGACCTGCTTGCCGGCGTGCGTGGAGCTGCAGCCCTTCCCAAAGCCCTGGGAAGTGTTCTCTGTGCTCTGCATGATGGTCTCTGTCAAACGTACGCTGTACTTCTCCTGCCATTAAAGCTATGCTGCATTCAAATTCAGTCCTGATTTTTTTCTTTGTAGTTTATGTTTTCAAGTTTTGGGGCAATTCTGCAGTAATTCTGAGAAATTGTAAGTGTCCTGAAAGTCTGAAATGCAAATCACGCTCCTTTATTTTGCAACAGAGTTGTGTTCCATGGGGAAACACAAGTCTTACGTGACATGCTTTAGCATTTGCTAGTGTTGTCATCTGGCATAGACTCGAAAGGGTAAATCATCTGCTGTCTTCCTAGAACTACTAAATAATTGCAGACAAGCTCCTCTTGAAAATAAGGACCTACAATATCAGTTAAGTTCATTGTAACTTAACAATTCTTTTACACGAAGGTCTCTTTTTTTAGATTTTCTTAATGAAACACCTAATACTCAGATTTGTGCTCACACATGCCCTTCAGCTCTGCCTTGATGGAGTGCTCTCTATCCTCTTAATTATATTGAGATACTTTCCTGTAACAGCATAGCATGTCTTTTGAATCTGGTCAGACTACTCTACTGACTAATAGTGAAGCACCGGTATGTGTCTTTATAAGAATGAGACCTAAACGTGTATAAGTTTAAAAAAAAAAAAAAAAGACAGAAATAACAACTATGATTTACTCTTGTCTCTCCCATGCCCCTGACAGTCTGGTTAGGCAACAAAGAGAAAAGCAAGGCCGCAGCAGTGAGCCCTTATGGATGTTATCTGTTCAGTGAAAGTACCAAGCAGGAGGAAGGTGAATCTCAGATCTCTACTCAGATTTAGCGCAAGGGGAGGAAGCTCTTTCCATCCCATGTCTGTACTGCCAGAAATGGTTCCTCTGGCTAGTTTAAAGCTAGATCTACTATGTTTATATGAATTGTGGCCATAGTTTTAATGGCAATGTAGACATAACCATGAAGTTTATTACTGAATTGTACAACTCTTCAATATTTTCTGAATTTAATCAGAAATCCTGCAACAGCCGCTTCTCTCCTGGCATATGTGCACATCAGATTTCCTTT